CCGAGTAGTGTTCCCCCCGGCCTCCCTCCTCAGGATCCCGGGGGGACCGGAGGGGGGCGGCCAGGGCGCAGGGCACTTACCCGGGTGCGGGTGGAGATTGAGGCCGGCCATGTACTTCCCGGGCGGCAGCGGGCCGGGCAGGCGTCCGGCCGCAGCGGTGCCCACGCGGTGGCTGTCCATAGCCAGGCCGGACAGCAGCGGCGGCGGGGGGCCGTGCACGGACCGCGGGGGGCCGAAGTCTCGGCCATCCATCCTCCGCGGGAGTGCCGCAGCCAGCCCCCCACCCGGCCCGCGGGCCTCGCTCAGTGGGACCTAAAAGTTCGGCCTCCGCGTAGTCCCAGAGTCCTCGGGCGGCGGGGGCTCCGCGGCGTGCATGGCGGCGGCGGCCAGCGGGGCTTGCGCTCGGCGGCGGGCCCGCGGCCCGGGGCGCACAGGCGGCCGGCGGTGGGGCCCCTCCGGGCGGCCAGGCGGAGCTGCGCGAGGCGGCGCACACGGCGTCTTGGCGGGGAGAGGAGACGGGCCGCGGAAGAAACCGGAGGGGGAGGGAGGAAGAAAGGAGGGGGGGGAGACAAAGTTTCAGAAAGTCGTCTTGCCGTTCGGGGTTGGGGACTGCGTATCGGGCGGCCAGAAGTGAAATCGGGGGTAACCCGCTTTCCATGGAAAGTAAAAACCCATGTTCCTCCCTGCGGCGGCCTCAGGCTCCCGGGGACCCGGCTCGGCAAGTGGCCGGTGGAGCGCTGCGCCCCAGCCCAGACTGGCTCGGCGGCTTACGGGTCCTCCCGAAACTGGGGAAGGCCCCTCGGCCGCGCCCGGGCTGCATAAATGCAAAACCTCCAAGTGGGACTGATTCCTGGGCGTCACATGCTCCGGGGTTTCAAACCGTGAAACCTTTGCATGAGCACTTCGAAATGTCCCCCTAAACACGGTGTCACTATCTGATCCGGGAAGTTTAATATTTAACCTTTTTGGCCCCTGGCCTGCCTTTTTTGAGTCTGCTTTCCCTAAGCTCGCCCTGAGCCGCCCGTGAGTGTTTTGTTTTGTTTTTTGGGGGGAGAAGGGGTGCAAAGACGGTTTATTATTTTTTAAAGAGACTCCGTGCCTCCTCCCGCCGCCCCCCTCGGGCCGCTGTGAGTCGCAGTCTGAGTCCGCGGACCCGAGACGTGGCATTCTCGCCCGAAGACTGCAAAGAATCCTTCAAAACAAGCTTTGGTTTCATTTTCCAACGCCTTGGCCTGGGAATCCTGCGGCCCGAGGACGTGGCCCGACGCGGGGGACTTGGGGGGAGGGGGGCGGTCGCTCCAGGGTCTTGCTCCTACCCTAGCTTTCCCCCCAACCCAAAAATAACCTACAAAGAAAACCTTCGCAGCGCGGCCCGACCAAGGGGCGCCTCCCCCAGCGTTGGGCAAATCCCCCTGTAGTTCCAGTTTAAAGCTGTTTGTTTAAAAGATTTGTCGTTTGCCGATTCCCATGGGGGCGGGAGGGGGTCGTGGAGCCAACCCTGCCCTCGCTCTCCGTCTGCCCGCAGCAGCTCGGGTTCCCGATTCCGGGAGGCCCGGGCGCTCCTAGAGCCGCCGATCCACGCCGAAGCCACCGGCTCCAGGTGCCCGCCCTGCGCCCCACGACCGGCGCCCAGCCCCCCGAGCTGCGGACCCCCTCAGCCGCAAACCCCCCGGCCTCCTTCTCCAGCCTCCCTCCCCAACTTTGCTGAGGGTGCTTATTTTAACCCGGTTTTGGCTACAAACACCCCCTTCCCTCCCTCCCTCCCTCGCTCACTCCCATCAGGCTCTGGTTACCAGATCCGCGTTTACTTTGGAAAAATCTAAGATCGCCACATCCGAGGATACATGTCTTAAGGAGGCGATGAGCTTTCCGTGATTTTTTTTTTTTAATGTTCTTTGTGTAGCTTTCTTTTAAAAGCTAGAGCTTCGGAGCATGCCCCGACGCCCCACTTTGGGGAAGTCGGGGTGAAGGCCCCCGGAACACCCTCGCTCTGGTAGAGAAGCTGGCTCGGCCATCTGCGGGCTCCGCTGCGTTCTCTCTACTTTTCTCCCCCTCTTAAATGCAGTTAAAATGGCTGAATTCCGGCTTTTAATTAAAAACAGCCTATAATCGAAAACGTCTCGGCGTCCCTGGCTCCCCCGCCGCCTGCCGGGAACCGAGAAGGGAACCGACGCCCCTCAGCCCGGCTGGGCGGGCTGGAGCTGGGCTGAGGGCTCAGGTGGGCGCCCGAAGCACCGTGGCCCGCCCCCACCCTTCCCAGGGCGTCCCCATCTCGCCGACGCCGGCCCCCGATCCAGCTCTTGGGGGCCGGAGAGCTGCGGGGATCCCCCCGCGCACCCCGAAGGGGAGGGGGTGGGGGGTCAGCTGGAGAAGTTTGGAGACCGTCGCGCCCGGCCAGGGACGGACCGGCGGCCTGGCGGCGTACCTGGCGCGGCGGGGCTCCCGGCTCCGGGCTCCGGTGACGGCGACTCCGGTGGTGGCCCCGGCTCCCGGCGCGGCTAGGCGCCCGTGCTGCCCGCCATCCCGCCGCTGCTGCTCCCCTTCGCCACCCGCAGCCGCCTCACACTTTTTGCCCGCCTTTCCTTTTTTTGGTAGAAAACCGCTCCCCGGGCCGAGCGCTCGGCGCGCCAACTCCTCCGCCCTCCCGCGGCCCGGCTCCCGCAGCCCCCGGAAAAGCCAGCTTTCCTCCCGCCGAGCTCCCCGCTTTTTAATAAAATCCAGGTAGCGCCGGTTTAAAGAATCCCAAATCTCCATATACAGCCCGGGATTGGAAAAGGTACATTACACAACCCCCCTTTCAAGTTCCTCTCGCTGGATCTAAAAAAAAAAAAAAAAAAAAAAAAAGCCAGCGGGAGGGGGGAGGGGGCGGCTGGGGGAGGGGAGTACTCTCCAGCGAAGAAACACGCATTGTTCCCGGGCGCCCGCCTCCCCCCCCAGGCCGGCCCCCGGCCTCCATCCATTGGCCGCGCGCACCGCCAATCACGCGCATGTAAACACCTTGGCCCTCAGCCATTCCTATAAAACCAATTACGGATCGAGGGGCTCCAGCAGTTTCCAGGCTCCCCACGGCGGGGCTGAATGATCAAAACTGGTGGTGAGAATTTTTCCCGGCCGTTTCTAGGCAGCCCTCCCCCTCCACCAGCTCGGACCCCCCTCTTTCCTCCCTCTCCTCCCTCTTCCTACCCCCTCCCCCGGCGTCTAGGCTGAGTGATCAAAATAGAGGAAGATGGTTGTCGCCGCAATCCAGGGCTTTGCAAGGCGCGGTTTAATGGGCCGCCTGTCAGCTTCCTGCTCGCAGGAGGAGGTGACAAGCCGAGCGAGCCGGGAAGGGCCTGGGGCCCGGCGGGCTGCACCCCGGGCCCGGGCCCGGGCCCCCTACCTCTCCTGGGGCGCGCCTTCTAGAACGCGCGCTGGAGACGCCAAAACAGACAAGGGCTGCTTTTTCCCTTTTTAACTCCCTCTTTTAAAACAAAGCAGCGATTCATTCCTTTTCCCCCAGCAGCGCGGTTGGGTGGGATGGGCAGGCGTGAAGGCCCTTTTCCTAGCCTCGGCCTGCGGGTCCCTCCCTGAAACGCGGTGTCAGATGGTTACTGATTAATATTTTGGAGAGGCAGCGGCGGCGGGTAGCGGGTGAGTCTCTAATCTTCTAAAAGGGGTTCCTATAGAAACGCGGGCCGGGGCGCGCCCCTCGCTCGGCCCCGGCCGGGGCTGTGGCGCTTTGCACCGCGCGCCCTTCCCCAAAGCCTTTCTTTGCGTGGGCGCTCCCCTCCTCTTGCCCCCCCCCCAAAAAAAAAAATCAGAGCAGAAAAAAGGATTAGATCGGCTGAGCGCGAACTGACTCCCTCTCGACTCTGACATTTCAGCCTATTAGCATTTCTCCACGGGGCCTTCTGAAACCTATTAAAGTGTAATATTAAAAACCTCTTGGCTGGGGGCCTCTCTCGCCTTCCATCCGCCGCGCCCCCTCCAGGGAGGGCGAGACCGGGAAAAAAAAAAAAAAAAATCTGTTGAGCTCAGAGGAAGCAGAAGCCAAGCCCAAAAAGTGCTTGGCTGGCCGCGGCGGCCGGAGGGGGAGGGGAGCCCCAATCCCCCAGACTTTGTACTTTTATTTTGCGCTTTCAGCAAAATCCTTTCTCGGTTGAGTCGCCGGGAGCTGCCCGCGGCAACCTACTTGGCTGCGGGCGCGAGGACTGCGGACGCGGTCGGAGGGGCCGCCCTGGGGCCCCCGCACCCTCTCTCTGCAGCCCCGCAGGGACCCGTGCCCGACTGGGCATTACGTACCCTCAAATGGAAGCTTGGAGAGGCAGAAATCCTTGCCGATCCTGCCTCGGAGAGCAACCGCGGTGATTAGATTTTAATTAAAACAAGAGAAGCCCGCTCTTTCGCCCCGCGCTGCGGACTCAGCGTTTTCGCATCGCTGGTTCTTTCTTTTTTTTTTTTTTAATCCATTTTTAAGCAACTTTTCTGGAGGGGGGAAAAATGAGCTAGTTAGCGCCCGTTCGTTCTATTTTTCTTTTCTCCACTTTTAGAAGAAAACGGGGAGAGGGGATAGGCTCGGAGAAAGCGAAATGGGGGTGTCTAATTTAATTCCAGTACAAATTTGAGGAAAAAAGTTCAGCCTCTTGAGGGCAGTTTCAAGTTGCCCTTCCAGGAGCCTCTGCGCTGGTTTCGAGGCTGCCCTCTTTTGGAAGCTGGAGCTCCGCAGGGGGAGGAGGGAGGAGTGAGAAGTAAAGAAAGGAACGAAAATAGCCGGAGCCGAGGGGAACAGCGGCGGAGTCCGCGCTTGGAGCAGGGCGCGCAGGTCTCAGTGGCGGCTGGGGCGGCGGGAGGTTCCCGGTGCGGCCCCGGGACGGCCAGGAGCAAAGACGGAGAGGAGAGGGGGGTTAGAGAAAGGAGGTATTGTGTCTTGTGTGCCTTGGGGGAGGGGGTCGACTGCAGAAATAAAATAAATGCAGTTGAGTTGCGCGGGGCTGCTGGAAGCCGAGGCAGGGAAAGGGGCAATGCGTGCGGCCGCAGCCCCGGTAGGCGCCGAGCATCCTCAAGCCTTATCCGAAGGCCTTTGTGGGTTCCTAAAAGACCCTCCCATGCCTGAGGCCCCATCGTTTCCCCACCCCCCTGGTTGCCATCCAATATTCGGAGCCCAGACCCTGATCCCCCACCCCATTATCCCCGCCCTGTATCTGGAATGGGTTTTTTGTGGGGGTTGTATTTTTTTTTTAATTACTTTTCATATAGCTCAAGCAAAAAATAGGTATCTTGAGAAGGTTGAGGTGGGCAATACAAAGGACTTGAGGGCTGGGGGGAAAAAATACAAAGCCTATTTTTATAAATGTTTAATGTTTTCACCCCTGGACGCTCCAAGACGCCGTAATTGTGAGATGGCGGGGTATGTGTGCCATAAATCATTTAGTTGCTAATAAAAATTCTGCCTGTTTGCCCTGCATTTGCCGATGGCGTTTGCATTTTCCAAGTCTGTGCCTTGTCTGCGTGGCGAGCCGAGCCTGCCTTTCATTAGGGTCGCGGTTCGGGGTAGGCGAGACCCCCCTCCCCCAACCTCTTCCTCCCGGGCCTTTGTGGGCCCCAGCCCCCTCGCGCCGCCCTCCCGGCACAGACGCCCGCGGCCGCGCTAGTCACCGCCCGAGCCCAGCCGGGCCCAGGGCCTGGGGACGCGGCGGCGGCGGCGGCGGCTGCTCCCGGGTCCTGGCCGCGCGGTGCGCAGCACAGCCTGCCCGCGCCCGCTCTGCGAGCGCAGCGCGCCCCGCCGAAGAGCTGCCCGCCGCGGCCGGCCCGTGCACACCCTAGTCCTTGCACGTCCCCCCCGCCCCCGCCGCTGCGCCCCGCGCCCCGTTGCCCCCGCAGCCGTTGGGTAAACAGCGTCCGGGAGCCATCTTGGGGCGGGGGGACGGATCCCAGGCCCGGTGGTGGGCGCAGCTCGGGCTCCCTCCGAGACCCTGCCATTCGCAGGGCACCCCTGGGGATCCCTTGCCAAGCTTCGGAGTCTGGGGCAGCACCCTCCCCGCTCTGGCGGACCACACTGAGATGTCAGAGCCAGGCCTGGGCGCCCTGCGCCGGCGGCAAAGACGCGCCCCGCGTGCGGTCCGCCCGGGTCTGGCCGCCATCTTCCGCACCCCGCCCCCCCCCCACCCGCATACTTCTGTTTACCCGGCGGGATCTGTGGCCAAAAAGTGTGTTGACTCGGTGTATGTGTGTGTTTTGCACTGACTGGGCGGAAAATCGGCGGGGGGCGGGGGGCCTCCTCGCAACCCAGACCTCAGTTCCCGGTGAACCCGCCCAGGCCCGCGCTGTCGTCCGCGGCCAGCCGGGGCTGCCGAGCCGAGGCCTTTGGTGTGTTCTAGGCCTCCGGCTCCGTGCACGCGACCCGACTGACAAAATCATTCCCCTTTGTTTCAAACCGAAGAACAGGCCGACTTTGCGCCCGGTGCTCCCCGGCCTGCTCCTCGGCCAACGCTGCCCTCTTCGGGGCAGAACCCGGCGCTTTCTGGAGCCCTGGTGTTGCTGGCCACGCGGACACATTCTCCCCTTCTCCTTCCCCCAGAGAAAACTGGCCGCCTTCCGTAGGCGAGGACACCTGAGCCACCTCCACCCGGCGCCCCAAACCGCCTTTCCCGGTGGGGACCCAAGTCCCCGCGCTGTGCCAGCCTCTCGGTGAAGCCGGCCTCTGCTGCCCGCTCGCTCGGGAAGCCCTGGCCGGATCTGGGGCTTACAAGGGCCACTTTCCAGGTCCCAGGTCTGGCAACCAGGGAGCTCCCGGCGCGGGCGCCGCGAAAACCCGGAGAGGCTGCGCGCGGGACATCCATCCTCGCCATCCCTTTTCTGCGGCTGGCCCAGCCACGATTCGGCGCCGAGCCGAAGTTCGGCCAGCCCGGCCAAGAGGGGTCCCAGCCCTGCAGAAAGACCGAGGACGCAGCGCCAACGCCCGAACGCCGCAGGGACAAGAGCGCTCGCTCGGTGGGCAGAGCCGGGGCTCGGCCCCAGCGGATCCCGGCGTGTCTCGGCTCCGCCTCCGGCCCTGGCCCCTTTCCCCGGCCCCGGCTCGGGTCTTCCATGCCACTGTTTGGCTCGGAGAGGCCGGAGACGTGCTCGGTGCACCGGGGGCCGGATGCGGCCATAAATCTCCATGCGGGACCTCCTTCCCGCCGCTCACACGCGGGTGCTCCCGGCCGGCCCCGCGTCCGGGGCTTCACCGAGCGCCCCGCTCTCCCAGTCACAGCCTGGGGTCCCTGAGACTGCCCGGGGAGTCAAGCCAGGAGCTTCCCTGTTCACCAAAGAGAGGAACGGATTCGCCCATTCAGTGCCATCACCTTCCATCCCCACGGTCGCCCGGACCTCAGGCGGCCTGGGCCTCACCGGATCCCGGCCTGGGGTAGGGCCACCCGGCCGGGCACTTACTTCTAGGAAGGCTCGGGGAGGCTGGAATGGGCGCAGGGCCACCTGCCTGAGCCCAATTCCATGCCATTAAGGGATGATACCAGGGTTAGGTCAGAGTGTCTTTTCGGAGGGCAGCCAGCCACCCTTCTCTGCAGACCCTGCTTTAATCCGGCGCCGTGGTTCTGCCCCTGAGTCCTCTGTGGGGGCTCGATATGGGGAGGTGGGCTTTTTTTCCTTTATTTCTTTTTTTTTTTTTTTCTTTTTTGCCTGATGAGGACCATGCAGGGTTTCTGTGGGAGCGGCACTGGGAGGCGGGGGCTCATCTAGCTCCCCACCCCGCGCCAGCCCATCTCTCCCTCTATGCCAGGGATACCCGGGACTTTTCGCCTCCCAGCCCCATGTCAGCACCCCCATCGGCCACCGGCTTTGGCGCAAATAGCCGAACCATCGGGAAAGCAGGAATCGGCGGGTCGATAGTGGCAGCCTGGTAGGGGCGGTGGTCTTTCCACCTGAACAGTCACGGAGCATCTGGGGGACAGACCCAGAGAGGGTGCATTTGCAATAATAACGCTTAATGTCACCAGCCTTGTGTGTCTCTCTGCCAGAGGGGCGGGAAACGGGCCTTCACGTGGGTACCTCGCAGCAGCTGAGCAGGCCTGCGCGCGATCGGGGACAAGCACCTCCGAACGGTCTTTGCTCTTTGCAGGGGACTTCGGTGGGGACAGCCGCGGAAGGGGGAGGCATTCACCCCCTCCGAGGAGCCTCCCCCTCGCTGTGCCGGTCATACAGTTGTAAGGGCCGTGGTAGAGGCCGGGGGTTAGAAGGTTTGGTAAACCTCGCCGGAGACGGTCTTACTATGGGAGCTTGGGCTCCTTCCTAGAATTTCTCGAAGCATGTTTGGAGGGACTGCAAGGGCTCCGGCAGGGCCCGGAGGAAATGGAGCGCTCGCCCCCGCCGCCTGGGAGCAGAGAGGCCGCGGCGCCGCTTTCCGGCCGTGCCTCCCCCCTGCCCCAGCCCCGCCGCAGCGCCCCAGGAAGCGTCTCCGAAAACAAAGCGCTGCGGTTTCAATCCAAGGTTAAAGTCCACCATGAGCAAGTGTTGTTTTTTGTTTTTTTTTTTTTCCCTCTCCGGAATCCGAGAGCGATAGCGTTTCTCCAAATAAACCGCCAATAAATCAGCTCCCGGGGCCTCCTGCTGAAGAGCTCTACCGACCTTGGGGAATGGTTTTCCTGCTTGGACCCCTTCCGAGGCCGGGGTGAGGGGGGCCGCGGTGCCACGGTGCCGGTGCCCCCCCAGGGAGAAGCAGGAGAGGGGATGGCCAAGGGCATTCGTGGGCGGGTGTTGTGGCACTTGTGTGCCCAGAGGGTGTGGGGAAGTTTTGGAATTGGGGGGGCTGGTTACTGGGGGGACTGGGAGTCCCTGGCTGGTAGGGTTTATTGTGGGGGCTGGCTGCTCTGGGGGAGGCTGGCCGCATGTGCGTTAAGTGCCTGGGGAGCCCACACTGTTCAAGGATGAACACGGCCTCTTTGGGGGCCTCCTTCTTTGTCTGGGTGTGCTTGGGTGTGCCCTGCAGGCGAGTTTGTGCGGGTGTGACTAATGGGATTTATGTATGTCAGTGCCAGGGTGACTAATGGAGGGCTTGGCAGCACGTGTGTTGGGGGAGGAGGGGGCTGCACCTAGGTGGGGAGTCGGGGCTCTAGGAGGAGGCCACCTCCTGCCTGGTCTTTAGGGGTTCACCTCTCTGGCCACCTGTTCCCAGCTTTGTTTGGACCTCTGAGCACCCCCTGGCAAGCCTGTGTGTGCTGAGATTTCTGGAGCAAATTCCATCACAGCCCTGCCCCCCCTCCCCCGCAACGTACCTCTGTCCCCTCCCACTACCCTGACCCACTCTGCCTCTGCAGACCCAAGCTGGTCCCTCCCATTCATGGCAGACAACTCCCAGTTTCTTCTTTTCCAGGCTGGAAATTTCTTTTGATGCAAACTGGTCCCTGCTTCGTACCAGCTTTAACAGCCCTCTGACTTGGGTACCATGGTGCCCGTTCGATGGACAAGAAACCCCAGGGGAAGTGACAAGCTCACACAGCTCAGAAGTGGCAGCAAACACCCTCAACGAAGCCAGGCAAGGGGGTACAAACGTGGAGCCCCAGCATCCCTGGGAGCCCCCAGCCTGACCAAGACCAGCTTAAAGAACTATACTAACCCCCCCTGCCACCCCATTTACTGCCCTTCCTCATCCTCTCTACTCCCTGCTGCCTCTGTCCTGCCCCCGCCTAGGGGGAGGCGACAGAGGTCAGAGGTCAGTGGGAGTCCTTTGGGCCTGGGGTATGGGCGGGTGAGGGGAGGCCTTCCTTGGGAGCAGGGCCCACATTCTGCACTCCAGGGCTGGAGGGGGCTGCAGGCAGGAGTTCAGGGGAGCAGACCCCGGGTCCCGCACACCTGCTGTAGATTCTGGCTCAGGACACACCTGGACAATGACATTTCCCATCTCCCTGGGGTCTTCTGGTTTCTGACACGCACACACACCGCCCCGGTCTCTGGTGCCCTTGTGGGTGTTCTTGCTGTTGCTTGCACACACGTTCTGTCCCGTGCATCTGTGTGTCATGGGTACACTCACCACAGGCGTCCCTGCAACCCAGAGAAATGGGGTGGTCTTCCTAAGGTCACCCAGCCTGGGTGGCAACAAGCAAGCCCAACCCGTTTCTGCCCAGCCCTCCACCTCCCGTGCTCGTCACTGGTGCTCCAGGGCCCACGGTGGCATCGAGAGAGAGGGGACAGCAACACCCAGCCTCGTCCCAGGTGTCCTGGGGTCCTCCCACACCCACAGGCTCCCAGGACCTCTGTCTCTGTCTCTCACACACGTGCGCGTGCACACACACACAATGTGTGTCTCTCTCTTCACCTCCCTCCCTCCCTCCGTCCGTCCCTCCCTCCCTCCGTCCCTCCCTCCCTCCCTCCGTCCCTCCCTCCCTCCCTTTTTTTTTTTTAATTCTTCTTTGGCATTTTCTTTCAAGCAGAAAATAAAAACATTTCCCATGGCTACAGCTTTGAAAGCTTCCCTCTTCTCTCTGCCTTTCTCTCGCCCCCACCCCCATGTGGATCCATTTCTAGAGTCAGCAGAAAGTCAAAAACAAACCCTGAAGATCAAACCTGACAGCCCACTCCCCTCCCCGCATCCCTCCACTTTCCCTGCATGTCTTAGCCTGTCTCCACCCTGGAGATGAACAGGAGGGAGCCCCCCCCCCCCCCCCCGCACATGCACAAATGCACTCCCACACCTTCTATGGCCGCAGGGAGTCTCTTAAGAACCTTCTAGAGCTGCCCCTGCCAGAAAGGCCTGCTCACTCAGTTCCTCCTGCTGGAAGTGTCTGGGTTCTCCCTCACGCTCCCCTTTCCAGCCCTGCTCCATCCAACCCTCCTCTGGAAGGCCGCCTGTTGTGGGTTGAATACCCCCAAAATTCATAGATTCAAGTCCTAGCCCCAGTACCTCAAAATGTGACCTCATTTGGAAACAGCCTCCTTGCGGATGTCATTGGTTAAGGTGAGGTCATCCTGGAGTAGGATGGGCCCCTAATCCAATATGACCAGGGCCCTTATAAAAGGGGGGCACAGACAGATACAGGGGGAAGCCTTAAAAGACCGAGACGGAGACAGCCATGTAGGAGACAGAGGGAGAGGCATGGACCAGACTCCCCCACAGCCCCTGAAGGAACCCACCCTGCCCACACCTTGCTCTTGGGCTTTTGCACTGCAGAATTGAGACAGTAAATTTCTGTTGTTATCCTGCAGTGACAAAAATCCCCAACATCTCAAAGGCTTAGCACAACACCTAAAAATGTATTCTCCCTGACACATCGTCTGCGCTGGGCCCGGGCGACACTCCACGGCACCCAAGCCACTTAGGTTCCACGAGTTGTCGACCTCGATGTGACACCATCACAGGGAAGGGAAGATTATCCCACGGGGGGTAATAAGATCACTGGTGCTCACCATCCATGTGACCACACCCAATGAAACGGTGCTAGAAGCTGGGTCTCCCCCATCCTGTGCTCAGGAAGGACCGGAAAACCTAAGATGGGCGAGCATAGGCAATGTCCACCGCAGCTAGAATGTGACCTCTCCCGATCTGTTAACTTTTTTTTTTTTTTTTAAGATTTTTAAGTAATCTCAGGACGCCTGGGTGGCTCAGTCGTTAGGCGTCTGCCTTCGGCTCAGGTCATGATCCCAGGGTCCTGGGATCGAGTCCCGCATCGGGATCCCTGCTCGGTGGGAGGCCTGTTTCTCCCTCTCCCACTCCCACTTGCTTGTGCTCCTGCTCTCACTATCTCTGTCTCTGTCAAATAAATAAATAAAATCTTTAAAAAAAAAAAAAAGATTTTTAAGTAATCTCTACACCTAACGTGGGGCTTGAACTCACAACCCCGAGATCAAGTGTCTCATGCTCTCCCGAATGAGCCAGCCAGGTGCCCCTAACCATGGCACTCTCTTAAAAGTTGTGGTAAAATATACATAACATAAAAGTCGCCATCTTAACCACTTATAAGTGCAGGGTTTGGTGGCGTTAAGTGCATTCCCATTTCTGTGCAGCCAGCCCCACCATCCATCTCCAGAACTTTCCCATCATCTCAAACTGAAACTCTGGCCCCACAAAGCCGCTCCCACCCCCTCCCCCAGCCCCCCGACACCCACCCTTCTGCTTCGTGTCCCTGTGAATGGGACTCCTCTGAAGACCGCACATAAGTGGAATCGTACAGTTTCTGTCCCTTTTGTGTCTGGCTTATTTCACTTCGTATAACGTCTTCAAGGTTTCACCCAGGTTGGAGCAGGCGCCAGAGCGTCCTTCCTTTTTGAGGCTGAATAATGTCCCACCGTATGGCTGGACGACATTTTGTTTATCTGTTCATCTGTTGATGGACGCTTGGGTTGCCCCCACCTTGTGGCTCCTAGGAATAACACTGTTAGGGACAGATAACCCTTCGAGTCTCTGCTCCCAATTCTTTGGGGCCTATACCCAGAACTGGAATTGCCCCATCCTACGGCATTGTTATGTTTAATTTTTGGAGGCGTCGCCATGCTGTCTTCTGGGCACAAGGGTTCCAATTTCTCCACATCCTCGCCAACGCTTGCCATTTGATACGTGTGTGTGAGGGGGGGTTCTCGTAGCCATCCTAATGGGCGTGGGGTGGTATCTCATCGTGGTCTTGATTTGTGTTGAGCGTCTTTTTGTGTGCTCATTAGCTATTTGTAGATCTTCGTTAGAGAAAAGTCTGCGCAAGTTTGTCCGTTTTTAATGTTTTTTTTTTTAAAGATTTTATTTATTTATTTGAGACAGAGAGAATGAGAGACAGAGAGCACATGAGAGGGGGGAGGGTCAGAGGCAGAAGCAGACTCCCCGCCGAGCAGGGAGCCCGATGCGGGACTCGATCCCGGGACTCCAGGATCATGACCTGAGCCGAAGGCAGTCGCTTAACCAACTGAGCCACCCAGGCGCCCCGTTTTTAATGTTTTTAATTGTTGTTTTGTTTTCTGTCCTTGGCACTATGTTTAACACTGTGCTGACCAAAATGGACCACTTGAGTGGGCCACCTGCTGGTCCCCGGTTTGCGAACCTCATGGAGGTTCTGCTCAGACCACCCCAGGTCGTCAGGACACTGCTAAAGGTCAATGTTTTCCTGAGGCCACACACTCACGCCCTTGCATTTACCCACTCCTGTTTGTTTAACAAATACTCACCAGGTCAAGCCCTGATAAAGTGGTACAGAGTGGCCCAGAGTCCCGTCCTCAGAGAGCTTGCAGTCCAGGGAGTTCCCGGGACACTCTGGCCAACAAAGAGTGTGGTGAGCGTGGACAAGGAGCAGCGGAGGGCCCAGGAGCAGGGCAGGGGCCAGACCAGGCAGGCCCTCCGTCCACAGGAGAAAAGAGATATTGGAAGGAGTTGGTACCCAACCTCCTTAAATAAAAGGAATACTGGGGCCCACAGCTTAAAATCCCGGAAATGGAACACCCGTGGGGATGGGTGGACCAAGCTCTCCCTCCCTCCCTCCTTATCTCTCCCTCCCTCCCTCCTTATCTCTCCCCTAACCCTTCCATTCTCCCTCCCTTTCCACTGGCCTTACTCTCTCCTTGGGACATCAGTGCCGTGGGATATGGCCCACCTCAGATCTGCAGCAAGAAAGAGGTACCTCCCCAAAGGGACACGGGGAGAGTTGGTAGTAAAAGGGGGGAGACCACTGAGCTCTCTACCCATCAAGCGCTTCTCTGAGGGCAAGATCGAATCAGACCTGAAGGATGACGAATGGACAGATTTCCATCATGCAGCCTTGCTCAGGAGGCAGAACGTCACGGCAGGGCTTGCAATGGCCACCAACCTCGTGCTCTTTCTCCTTCCCCTCTCTCTCCTCCTCACCCCCGCCCTCCTGGGTTCAAGTTCTGGCTCTGCCACCTGCTTGACCCATGACATTTGCAAAGTCACCTCCCTGTCTCAGCCTCATTGTGCCTGTTGACCTGTCTCTCCCTGCCTGCGTCACCTGCACACCAGGTCACAATCCCAGTTCCAGAAGAGAACATGCCACGCTATGGCGCACGGGACCCGGCCTTCCCGAGCAGCTGTCGTGACCCACTGTAACCTCTGACGATGGCCACACGGTATCTCCCTGCTGCAGAGTGACCTTGACATTCCTCCCATTCAAGGTGGAGTCTATAACAAGATGCTTGGAAGTGACACGGCAAGGCTTACAAGGCCAGGTCAGAAGAGGAGACGCCAGGTCACCCTTGTGTGTTAAGATGCTCACGTGGAGCGCTGAGCCAGCAGGTGTGAAGCTGGATTGCCCAAGGCCACCAAGCTATAAACTCCTCCCGCATGCTGAGGCCCTGGTGAGGTCCCAACCCGCCCCCCCAGCACTGACTCCTGGACGTGTGTGCAAACAGGAGAGAGAAAGGAGCCTCCCCACAGCTGCGTGAGTGAGGCTCGGGGACTGTGACGGCCCAGGTCACCCCCGGGGTGGCGAGTGGGGCCTGGAACCCAGTTCTGTTTGCCCCCCCCAAGGCTGCCCCCCTTGGTGGGTGCCGGAATGACCACGCTCCTCGGCCCTCCTGGGCTTGAGTCTGAGCCCCTCCAACCTCTGCCTCCCCTGTCACACGGCGGCCTCCCCTCTGGGTCTGTCTTCACGTGGCGTCCTCCACTCTGTGTGGGTCAGTCTCTGTGCCTCTTCTCCCCTTCTTATAAGGACACCAGTCATATTTGATTAAAGGCCTGCCGTACCCCAGTGGGACCTCATCTTCACCGATTACATCTGCAGTGGCCCTATTTCCAAATAAGGCCACATTGTGGGCTTCCAGAGGTCAGCACTTTAACGTGTCTTTCTGGGGCACACAATTCAATCCGCCACCCCAACCTGGATTGCCCCTCGCCCCTCCGCCCCCTCCCGCCACCAGGACACAACCGAAGCCCCTCCCTCAGAAGGCACGGGGTCCTCCAGCCCTCCATGAGGTGGAGGGGCAGACAGGCCTCGTGTGCGAGGGGCAGGTCTGGCAGCGCCCACCTCCCCTCAGCACACACGCCCTGGCACAGACCGTAACTGGAGGGACCCCAGCCCAAAGCCGCCGTGACTCGGGGGCTTCGGCTAGCGAGGCCCCGGGGCCCAGGCACCCCTCGGCCAGTGGCTGCGTCGAGTGGAGCCGTCCTCCTCCCGCTCGTCCCACACCCTGCAAGGGCCCCGCTGACCCACGTGGGAGCTGACCTGTGACGCTCGGTGTTCTGGCTGCCTTTCCTTCGCTGTCACTCCCCCCACCCCTGCTTTCTGAGGGTCACCCCCGAATAAAGCACCCGCCCTCCCATCCTCGCTGTAGGGATCAGCTCTGGGGGGGCCCCTCTGGCAGCCAATTCCTGCAAACCCTGCCCCAGCTACATGGTCTCCACCCCAGAGAGGCCAGTGGGGACCCAGGAAGGGCTGCAGAGCCGGGGCCCAGACCCGGGAGCGCCTGGACCAGAGCTCCGCCCGCACGGCCTGCACTGACCTGTCCGCGTGTGGGGTCTGGAGGGGACGGCGTGGTTGCCTCTCCAGGTCACATGGTGGGATGGTGATGAGAAGGTCTTGAACCCCGATGATCCTCCTGACCCGGCTACTGCCTCCCACGGGTAGGTCAGCCTCAAGCCAGGGAGCCCAGGTCAGCGTGCTCGGGCCCCGGGAACAGTTCGAGATCAAGGCGAGCACAGAGCCGGCTTCTCCTGTGGCCTCTCTCCGTGGCGTTTAGACACTGTCTTCTCTCCGTGTCCTCCCGTGGTGGTCCCCCTGTGCGTGTCTGTGTCTGTGTCCCAACCTCCTCTTCTCGTAAGGACACCAGTCCTGTTGGATGAGGGCCCACCCTAGTGACCCCCTTTTAACCTAATTACCTCCTTCAAGGCCCCGTCTCCAAATGCAGATGCATTGTGGGGTATTAGGGGCTAGAACTTCAACATACGCATTTCGGGGGACAGAATTCGGCCTGTTTGGGCTGCTGTAACAAATATCCAGAGCCTGGGGGTCTTAACCAACAGGCATGTATCGCTCACATTTCTGGAGGCTGGAGGTCCACGATCAAGGCACCGGCCAACTCTGTTTGGTGAGAACCTCTGTCCTGGTTCATAGATGGCTGTTTTCTCACCGTGTCCCCTTACAGCCCACACCAGAGGCCCTCTGCTTTATCATGCTCTCCCCCACGTTCAATCCAGTAGATTTCAGTAGATGTCCACCCAAGGAACAAATGAAATGACATGATCCTGGTAGGGTTTTGAAGGATGAATAGAAGTTTGCTAGGCAGAGAAGGCAGAGACAGACATTCCAGGCTAGAGGAATAGCCCGTGCTGAGGCCTAGAGACCTCCCAGCAGGGTCTGCCTGGCTCCCTGGTAGCATGCTGGGCCTGGGGGAGGGGGAGAGCCAGGCATGCCCCCCCCCAGGTGACTGGCCACCCCAGGTCAATGCAAGTGGCGGTGGCCCTGTGCCACCCTGCTGACCTCCCACCCCTGAGCCAAGGCCCATCCAGCCTCCACAAGGAGCAGGGCCCCAGCACCTCCGCCCACAGGAGCCCAGCTTAGATGATTCTAGGTATCTCTTTTCCCCTTCACGCCTGGGTGGGTTGAGCACTATTTATTCAAACTTGCATTTTATTGGTGTTTTTGTTGAAAGCCCAGGAATTATTCATGGCTGGGATTCGGTTCTCTTCTGGCAATGACTGCATTTTTGTACACAAGGTACAAATTACGTGTCAGTTCAATTCACCGTCAATCGGAGGCTGCCCCCAAGCATCAAGCAATGGAGGCTCGGAATGTTCTAGAAGTCAAGTCTGGCTGGAGGCAGCAGGGGCCTGGGTGGGTCATGGTCCCCGAAGTCACTAGGGATAGAGGACGGGGAAGGGATATAAGGGAGGTGACCAG